CCTTGGGCCCGCCCCACAGAGCGGGAGCAGGGCCTCTGTGTAGGGCTTCTATGGCTGGGCTGCCGCTGAGCCCACTTGATGCTCCATAAGGAGAGAGCTTGGAGCCTTGTCCCTCTCTCACACTACACATGAGGCCGGTTGCTGGAAGAGGATGGTGCTGACTCCCTCCCCTTCCCTGGTCATGATCTGCAGCCTGCACCAAGTCTAAATCAGTCTCTTTACAAAGCTACTCTCAACAAGTGTCCTGGCCCAGCACATCTGCTCATCTCACCACTTCTGGGCACCAAGACCACCATCTGCAGCCTGGGGACTACTTTGGCTTACCTCTGTCACTGGGTGCATCCTGTCCCTCCAACCCTGCCCGTGCTGTCCGGTTGCATCCCTGGCCCTGGGGATTGAAGGTGTCAAGTGAGATGGGGGCAAGGTGTGGTCATCTGAGCTGAGACCAATGCCTGGAAGAGGTGCCCTGTGCACCTCTGGCCTGGCACAGGTCCCACTCAGCCATGGCATCTGGGGGCTGCGACCTTTGAGGACTGTGACCCCTTTTCCCAGGAGGGCCCAGCTCACTGCTGACATTGCCTTCCCTAGCCAAGGCAGGGAAACAGCAGACGACCGAGTGGGCTCAGTTTCTGAGCTGCCTTGGCTTTTTCATGGGTCCTGGGACTGCAGATCACCATGGGGCCATGCTCACAGGGGAAGCCATCCCACCAAAACAGCCAGAGCACAAGGGAAAGATGTGGGCAGGGAGGGAGCTCTGGACAGGCCCTGGCAATATCATTCCCTCTACAGGCTCCCTCACTTCCCACCATCATGGGGGAAGATGATGGAGGGACCCCTGACCTCCGTCCAGGGGCCATCCCCCACTGCAGAGTGAGGAGCACCCAGCACCCTCCACGCCTCCGTGGGTGCTGGGCATGCTGACGGGACACCCGTCTCTCCACAGTCTGCAAGCGGGCAGGGTGTGCCCTTGCTTAGGTTGAGCCTGGTTCTCTCCACATTAAAGGAAATATCTCTGCCCACTCCCTGTCCCGCAACAAGCCACAGAGGAGCAATCGTCTTTCTTTAGTTATTTCCCCCTTGGCTCTGCTGGCTGACTCATTTCTGGCTCCCCCATTGACCACAGAGCTTTTGGGCTTGCGTGCGTGGAGGGAAGCAAAGGGACTGCGGACCCCCGGGGCAGCAGCCAGCCAATTCCTGGGGCTCAGAGCTGTGCAGCCATGGCAGCAGCAACACGCTCCCATCCCAGGCACTGGAGTAAGAGGGCATGGCAAGGGGGGGAAGTGGGGGAAAGAGCCAGCTCGTAATTGCAAACGTTGCTAATTTGGTGCAGCTGCATGGCTGGAGAGGCAGCCCAGAAATATTCCGTCATCCCTCAGCGGGGTAGGACTATGCAAAGCCTCTTTGCTGCCAGCAAGCCTGGATCCAAGAGCCTGCATGGACAAATGGGGGTTGAAGAGACAAGGGCTTACCTCTGCTAGGGCTCCCAGGAGCTGTGGCACCCACAGGACCAGCAGCGGCAGCAG